CACCTATTTTTGAAACTTCGTTGATCAAGACAGAGCTTTATCTCAGCTTTCTGAGGATGTAATTCACGTATAATTCACTGATTAAATTGTACTCATCAGTGGCTTTTACTATATTCAAAGCTGTACAACCTCTCTGACAATCAATTCTAGAACATTTTCTTCATCACAAAAAGAAATTCTGAACTGGGTTAAGCCACCACATGGGATCCCAGTGTCCCCTATGGGAGCTAGTTGAAGTCCCAGCTGTTTTGCTTCTGATCTAGTTCCCTGCTATTGTGCCTAGGATAGCAGCAGAAGATGGCTCAAGTACTTGGGCCCCTGCCATCCACATGGGAGACCCAGATGGAGTTCTTGGCTCCTTGGTTTGTCATGGTCCAGCCTCCTGCTGTTGTGGCCAGTTGAGGTGTGAACCAGTGGATGAAATCTCTCTCTCTCTCTCTCTCTCTCTCTCTCTCTATCTCTATCTCTATCTCCTTCCCTCTCTATATAATTCTGCCATTCAAGTAAATAAATAAATCTTAAAAAAAATTTAGAACCTATTTGCAGTCATTCCCCTTGTCCCTCTCCTATTAGCTGTAGGTAACCACTAAGCTACTTCTGACCCTATAGATTTGCCTGCTTTGGACAAAATTATCATTTAATTTTTATTCAAAAGTGCTCTTGAGAATTAGGAGTTCTTAGTTTTGGAACTACCGATTACTAAATGGTGGATATCTGTGATGATAAGAGAGCTGTGATAGAAATGGGAGGGAAGGGAAATGGGACTTACTTAACAACTGCTATAAGCTAGTGTTGGTCCATTTTCACAACCATCCTACAAGCTAGGTATCATTTAACAGTCAGAGAAACTGAGGTTTGCAGGAATCGAGTAACTTGTCTAAGGTTGCAAAACCAGTAGCAAAGCAAGGCTACAAACCTTGGTTTACTGACTAGGGTTACTTCCTTTTCTTTTTTAAATGTATTTAACAGGTAGAGTTATAGACAGAGAGACAGAGAGAAAGGTCTTCCTTCCGTTGGTTCACCCCCAAATGGCCTCCACGGCTGGTGCGCTGTGCCGATCCGAAGCCAGGAGCCACGTGCTTCCTCCTGGTCGCCCATGCGAGTGCAGGGCCCAAGCACTTGGGCCATCCTCCACTGCCTTCCGGGCCACAGCAGAGCTGGACTGGAAGAGGAGGAGCCGGGACAAGAACCCGGTGCCCATATGGGATGCCAGCACTGCAGTGGAGGATTAGCCAAGTGAGCCACGGCGCCAGCCCAGGGTTTATTCCTTTTTTTTGCACTACATCACTGGTTCTCAAACTCGGGTGGGCACTAGAATCACCCGGGAAGCTTATATAACACAGATTTCTGAGCCCCACCCCCGGAGTCTCTGATTCACTAGTTCTGGGGTGGAGCCCAGGCAGATGCCACTGCTACTGCTTGTCTGAAACCAGACGATACTTGTATTGTGTTGCCTAACTGCATCTGAGAGAGTGATTGATTAAGGTCACAGAGCTAGCTGTTGAAGTGGCTTTACTATCTGGTCATCTGTGCAGAACAGCACTGATGATCTGTCAAAGCAATTGCTGATGGATAAACGGTGGAAAGCAATTGGAAAGGCAACCCAGGGAACAAATGCTTTGGATACACGCTGAAGGGTGATAACTATTTTTCAGGTTGGAAAATGAGATAAGCAAATAGAGAATTGATCATAGTGCATGAAGCACCCAGAGGTAGAACATTTCTTTTGGATGCAAAATGTAATGTTCCTGTGTGGTTCAGAACTGTGGCTACTTAAGGAGAGCAGGCAGGCAGGCAAAAATGGTCAACAGCAATGTGTCTTAAGTGCTCCTCGGCTACAGCTGCAGTTGCATACTCATGCTGACTTCATCCCCAAATGTTAACCAGGCCAGAATTTGATCAGACTGAAATCTGTATAAAGAACAAAGAAAGATCACAGAGAATGAGAAAATATATTTCCTTGAGTTTTAACTCTGGATTTTATTTAAAATATCTGATTTTTTTTCTCTTAATGGAAGGATAAAGAAGGCAGCTCAAAAATCACTTAATTCAGAACCTGCAGTATAATTGCTACTGTAGGCGCAAATGTGATTTGAACATCCCTAGCTATGGGATTTGGTGACCAGACTCCCACGAGAGGATGACACAGCATGGGGAATAGCGCAGGCAGCTTGCCTCGCCTTGTAGAGAGCAGAGATGCAAAAGTCCTTGTTGAGGTCACTGGTGCTGAGAGTATTCTTAATCATTTAAATGTGCACTGGTAACTTCCTTGTGTGTAGGCAAGCCAGCCCTAGGGAAAGTGAAGCAAAGTGAAAACAAGGAGCACAGGGTGCAGCCGGCTCTCCTCCGCTAATTAGGCCTTACCTTGCTAGAGCAGGCTTTTGGTTTTTGTCGGAGCACGGTGATGTACATTATCTCACGCCGAGATAAAATATTATTATTAAACAAGGAGCAGGGAAGTGTAGTGTGTTAGTTCAGCTGAGTCAGCTGGACTAGTTACTAGATACACCAGGACTAGATGTAGGCATTTACACTTATTCTGGAATGCCAGAAAAGCAAAATATTTACAAACCATAGTAACTGCATGGACATAATCAAAGGAACACCATCTTTGTTTTCAAAAGGGTGAAAAAGTGTTTCCTTGGTGTGCCCTGGTACTTGCCTGTCTGTTCATCCATTCATTTACCAGTCCTGTACTTGCCTGCCATTCTGCTGAGTGAGTCTGGCAAATGTAGACATTAGACATGGTGCCTCTTCATTCATTCAGCACATATTTATTGAGGTCCTACCAGAAACTGTTCTAGGTGTTAGGTATAAAGCACTTAAAAAAATACACATGTAGCTCAGTTTGGAGGAAGCTGATTCAAACTAACAAAGCAAAGGGAAATAAGTACTAGGACAAAAAGTTCTTGAAAGAGGAGGGGGCGGGCAGAGGACTGGTGATGTGATAGAGAATGGTGCAGTGGTGATGGTGGGGTCGAGGCGGTAGGCAGTCCGTGTTTACTGTCAGGTCTTTCAACTGTGTTTGAAATTTTTACAAGATTATGGAAAAAAGCTACAGTGATGATAAGGAAGCCGAGGACTAGGAAGCACTCATGAAGGTTGTGCCATTGCTTTGTCCTCGCCTTCTTTCTCCCAGCTACCTAAGAGCCCCATGTTAACCCTTAGCTGTGGGTCCAAGTTCCAAATCCCAGCAGGCCTTATTTTGGGCTGTGCAGAGTTCTGTCAAAGTCCGACCTCTGTAATGGAGAAGAGTTTCTGGGGAGAAGAGGTCAAGCATCAACCAAAACCCACCGCTGCACAGCCACATGGTAGGGCACCCTCCTCCTCCTAGTATGCTCTGCCTCTAACACCTGTAACCATGCTCCTCATCTTAGTCTCCTGTCTGAGCTGCCCTGGAGTTTGCTGTTGGATGGCAATCTAAACCATTTCAAAAGTAGAAACAGGCCGGCACCACGGCTCAATAGGCTAATCCTCTGCCTGTGGCGCCGGCACACCGGGTTCTAGTCCCGGTTGGGGCGCCGGATTCTGTCCCAGTTGCTCCTCTTCCTGTCCAGCTCTCTGCTGTGGCCAGGGAGTGCAGTGGAGGATGGCCCAAGTGCTTGGGCCCTGCACCCACATGGGAGACCAGAAGAAGCACCTGGCTCCTGGCTTCGGATCAGCAGCTGCAGGGCGCAGGCCGCAGCGGCCATTGGAGGGTGAACCAACGGCAAAGTAAGACCTTTCTCTCTGTTTCTCTCTCTCACTGTCCACTCTGCCGTTAATTAAAAAATAAAAAAACAAACAAAAAAAAAACCACACACACAAAAACAAAAAAGTGGAAACAATGTTTTTGTTTTCTGATCATTTTAATTTTCTTTAGTGATGTTTTTCAACATAGTTTTCCACCCAAGGTAGTTTACTAAGATTATGCTATGGACTTGAGTTCAGTTTTAGACTCTAAGGGCCCATCAGCTCCTTGTTACCCATCCTGAATTCACAGAAGCAGGGACTGGAAGTTTCTAGTCTGGCCCAGGCTTGCCCTGCCCAAACTTCCCTTTCCAGTTTCCACCCCTCAGGGGCCCTTTGCCTTCCAGCACTACCAGAGGGTCTCAGTCCTTACCGGGCACTATTCTAAGACTTTACACAGACTGATTCATGGAATCCTGACAAAACTCTAGGGAGTGCACTGTCATCATTATTGCCATTTCACAGATGGGAACACCGAGGCCCAGGAAGACTAACGTGCTCATGGTCCCTGATGTGAGCTGGGAAGTTTGGCTCCAGAGTTGGAGGCTGAGTGCTCTCTGGCACTAGCTGGTGCCCCATTTCCAACAAAGTGCCGAATCGCTGATCTCTGAAAAAACAGTTCCATCCAAGGCACTGACAGGACAGCATGGCAGGAAAGGTTATTTTCACGTTCCCACAAAGCCTCACTGCACAGGAACCTCAGTGCCTGGGATGAGGGACCGTGGTTTGGATTTTCAGAGACAGGGCACCCTTCTCTGCAGAGTCACACGAGGACAGGCCTGCTGGACAGAACGGCGTCTGGGGGTTTCCAAGGCAGGAAATATCTAAAGCCAACGGCTGACATGTTATTTTGGCAAATGGGGGGTGGTGGTGGTGGTGGTGGTGGAAAGGAGAGATCTCATCTTCTGAAAACACAAGTTTTTGGCCTGGATGGTGGGTAAATGACATTAACTCTTTGTTTCAGACTCACCTTCCAAGCTTGCTCTAATGTAGCTACTCAAGCTCTAATGCAGCTTCTCAATCCCCTCCATTATCTGACCTGCCCACGGAGCCCGGGCTCGCTGGCTCGGCATCCCGCTGGAAACGGGTGGTGGCGCGCCACAGGAACGCGCAGCAGCCGGCCTCTTTCCCCCAGGTGGTGGTGGTGTTGGGGGGGTGCTGCCGGAGGGCGCCGGAGAAAGGGTTAAGGGCGGGTGGGGAGGAGGCTGGGCTCGCACCTTTCCCAGAGCCCGCGGGCGGCGGCGGCGGCGGCGGGGCCCGGGAGGGGCGGAGGCTGGGGCCGCCGCCTCGCCGCCTCCGCCTCGGCGAATAGCAGCGCGCTGCCCGCCGGATTGGAGCAGCAGCATCACGCTGACCTCTGCCTGGGATGTAAACCGGGCCGGCCGCTGCGGGCAGAGGAAGGCTCGCGGCTCCTGCGGGAAACCCAGCGCCACCAGCGGGCTCCGAGCGGCCAGCGGGCGGGCGACGGCAGCCTTGGCCCAGGCAGCGGCGGCTGCGGGCAGCGGAGGGAGCCGGCGCGGGCACGGGCGGGGAGCGTGCGTCCGTTCGCACAGCAGTGGGAGGAGGGGCGGCGCGAGCCATGGCCGGGGACAGCGAGCAGACCCTACAGAACCACCAGCAGCCCAACGGCGGCGAGCCCTTCCTGATCGGCGTCAGCGGGGGCACGGCCAGCGGCAAGGTATGGCAGGCCGCGGCCGCGCACCCTTCTCGGCCCGGACCGGGCGGCGCATGTGGCCGGCGGCCGCGGCCCGTGTCAGTTGCGGTAGCCACCGCGTGGCCCGCGCGCCTCCTTCGCGAGCGGCCCCGCGTCTGCCCCCGCGCGGGCCCCGAGGCGTCGCGGTGCGGGCGACCCGGGCCGCCCAGGCCCCGGAGGTCCCCGGCCACGGTGGCAGGACGGGCGCGCTCCCTCTCGCTGCGCTCGGCCGCGGCGGTAACTCGTGGCCCGGGTCCTATGGGGGGAGGGGCGGCGAGAGCGGATGCTTATTGTCTCACAAGTCCAATGTGAGGGGAGAGGGCGTTCCGCAGGGCCCCCCACCAGACCCCGAGGGCGCCCCCTCCCCTGGTCTCGCGCGGACGTGCGCGCCCTGCGGCGCAGCCTGGGCGCCAAGGGCGGAGCGAGCGGGACGCCGGCCCAGGAGGGCTGCAAGCGTGGCGCGAACGCGCGAGGCGGCGTCCCGGGGAACGGGAGCCCACTTGGGGATTGCGGGTCTCCCCAACTCCCGGGGTGGGGGTGAAAGCCCGAGGGTCGAATAGGTACAGGGACATCAGCGAAGGGATACTACTGGGGGCTTCTGATGTTTTGGCTCTAAGAGGAGACGCGATCGGCTCCAATGAGAAAGTTGTGCCGGCTGCAAGTACTCGTCCGGGTCGTGCGTGTCTTGCGTCCGCGGAAAAGGGGCATCGTCTGGGGGTCTGCCTCCCCTCGGAACCAGTTTTCTTTGTTTTCTCAGCTAGGCGAGGGGAGCCCTCCCAGCTGAGCCCCGGGCTTTCTCCGCAGGTGGAACAGGGTGGAGTAGCTCCCCCACCCCCCAACCCCGATGGCTTGTTCTCTGCGCCCCTAAGATGCGGTACTTGTTTCCCTGCGGTGGAACAGCCTCCGGCTTGGCTCGGAGCCAGGCTCCTGGAGGGGCGCCGCGGGGGAGCGGGGTCCCGCGCTCGGAGCGGCGCGGCAGAAGGTGTTGCCGCGCCCGGGGAGGGCAGAGCAGGAAGGCGGGTTGGCGCCATGAGGCGCGCCACGAGGTTTTCGCAGCGAGCCGCCTCGGCCGGAGCCCCTCCTCCATCTTGCTTTTACGCGCGCGCCAGGGGCGCAGAGGCGGCGCGGACGCGGCGGAACTTCTTTATGGACCAACTTAACCCTCGTGCCCCGGCTGCCAGGGCTGCGAGCCCGCCTGCTTGTGTTTGCTCCCTGGTGGGCTTGTCTTTTTCTTTAATTAGGAATTTTTAAATGTGTTCTTCACTGGCACGTCTGGTAATTCGAAGCCAGCTCCTTCAGGAAGCCTGACCCGGGCTTATAGAACTGTTGTTGGCCTCGCGTTTTCCTGTTGCGCGGGACCCTGTTTTGTCCCTGGCTGCGTTCCCAGCGCTGCCAACCCGGTGCCTGGCATATACTTGGGATCCAGGCAGTCAGTCCGAAGGCCGGTCCTCTCGGGGAGGAACGCTATTTAAACTTGCAGATGAGTGGGGCATTCAGAAACGAAGTGACCTTGAAAACCATCTAAATAAGTTATTAGTCGCGGCAGACTGGAAAACGGAGACCCTGGACGGTGAATAATTCTATTATTCCGCGAGTTTCTCAATGATTACCTGTTTACAGTTGATAATTAGTATTCGTTTTAAATGTTAAGTGAGCCATTGGGGAACAGCTGATTCTCTGCTGTCCCCAGTTCTCACCAAGGAGGAGGAGTAGAGAGGGTTCCCAGAAAGGATGGATCTGTTTTCTTGTCATTTCCAAAAGTACATTTTGGAATATGATACTTTGTCATTGCTTAATATTATTTTTTATGTATATGTACTTAGTCCGGGGTGTTGGAGTTCTGAAATTCCATATGGTAAGCAGTTGACTATAAGCATATCCTGATTTTTGTTATTCCAGTCTTTGTTGCTTTTCCTGCAAGGGATTCACAGAGTTCTTTGTTTTTTGATGATCAGCCGCAACAACCCTACCTCCTTTGGAAGTCTCCCCCTGGCATACTGATGCAGGGGCCTCTGTGCTGGTTAAAGACATTGGGGAGAGGGAAAAGGGTTGAGAGCATGACCATTACTTATAACTTAGAGCTCGAAGGACCCTCAGAGCCTTTGGAATCCAACAGTTGAGAAAAATGCAGCCTGAAGTTAATACTGTCTTCAATTCGTCTTCGTAATGGTGGGGCTAGGACCAGACCAGGGCTGTTCAGTTGCTGCTACTACCCTAAGAGTTGACTAGGGCATGGAGAGAGTACAGGCTAGCACGGTCCACTCAGAAATGACTACAGAAAGAATGTTGCATTTTCCAGGATGTAAAGCCAAAGGGAGTGGAGAGGCAGATGGCTTTGCACCCCATAGCCCCAGCACTCCTCTCTGGTCCCTCTTCTCTCTGGAAGCACAGCTTCTCTGAGGGATGGATACCTTTGCCAGCGTGGCTCTAATTTGTCTCAATGTTGTGGCTGCCCAGGGTACAAATACTTTATCTCAGACTAAATTATTTGGGTCATAAATGCCAGGACCAGGGAGCTCCCTGTATTGTGTTTTGCAGTTTATTTTCTAAGTGGAGATGAATTAGAACTTGAGAGTAAACTCTTGCTGGGCCCACATGGCCAACCATTGTTAAAAAACTCACCTCCAGGTTGGGGGTTGAGAAAGCCATGGTGACTGTGTTAAAAAACCAGATTCTTGAATTTCCTACTAAAGGACAGGGCTGGATGCAAGAAGTAACACTGGAAAGAGAAAAGAAAAACACAAAAGGCAAAAAACAATTTAAATTTCTTTTTTTTAAAGGCACAGTCCTTGTATATAATCTATGTACATCCTCCAGTACACTTTATTTTTTTATTTAAGATTTATTTATTTGAAAAGCAGAGTTAGAGAGAGACAGAGGCAGAGAGAGAAGGAAAGAGGTCTTCCATCTCGTGGTTCACTCCCCAAATGGCTGCAGTGGCCAGAGCTGGGCAGATCCAAAGCCAGGAGCTTCTTCTAGGTCTCCCACGAGGGTTCAGGAGCCCAAGCACGTGGACCATCTTCTGTTGCTTCCCCAGGCCATAGCAGAGAGCTGGATGGGAAGTGGAGCAGCCGGGTCTCGAACCCAGCGTCCATATAGGATGCCAGCATTGCAGGCAGTGGTTTTACTCCCTGTGCCACAGCGCTGGGGGTGAGGGGGGTGGGCTCTCCCCCCAGTTTAAATTTCTTTGCCTCCTGTGTGCCCATGACTTTAGGTGCCCACTCCTCTCCTTGCTTTGTTCTGCTCTTCGCGTGCTATCAAAGGAAGTGGTCTCCCTTAGTGAGCTCCAGGTGTGTCATCCTCCTTTGTGGAAACCTTGGGTGATTTCCCCTTCCCCTCCCCCACCCACCCCCACACTTGCCCAGAGAACAGGTGAAATACTTCAGCACGGTACAGATGCCCCAAAGGGGCGCCAGGGTGTTCATTTCCCCCCACTGCCAGCTGCACACAGACTCATCTCACTGAGATGCTTTCGCTTACACTTCTGCTCAGTCTGTCCCCAGTGGCCTTTAGTTCTTTGAAGGTTCAGCTCTGTTAAGACTTCCTCCCTCCAGGGAGCACTGCTGTCCATTTCCTTATTCAGATTCACTTTTCTCCCATCTCTCTTGCTTCCATGGATTTGCCGCATTTTCCCTTGTGCTGTGCTGGCTGTCTGCTTTCCCCACCAGAGTACACATTCTTTTTTTTTTTTGGCCATCCTCCACTGCCCCCCCAGGCCACAGCAGAGAGCTGCACCGGAAGCGGAGCAGCCTGGACCCGAACCGGCCCCCACACGGGCTGTCGGCACCTCCGGCCAGGGCCCTAACCCGCTGCAGCACGGCGCCGGCCCCTTGAGTACACATTCTGTAAGACAGTGCTGTATTAAGGATATGAGGTTGAGAAGGGGGAATAGGAGAGAGCTGTCCTAGTGTTTCACTGCTTACAAGCTGCTGAAGCTGGTTTTCCTATCAAGCCAGTTTATCACTCAAGAGCTTGATGAGCTCTTCCCTTTGAAGTCCACAGGGCAGGTGTCATGGGTGGCTGCAGCGGAGGATGAGTTCAGAACTAGGACTGGGACCCAGATTTTTTCTTTCTTCTAAACCCGTGCCTTTGGTGAACTTTCCCCACAAGCAGCAGCCACTTGGTGTAGGTATTTTTAGGGAGGTTGTCTGTGGATGAGTAATACAGGACAAGAGAGGAAATTGCAGCCCTCAGAGGTGTGGGCCGGCACCTCAGCTCAGCTTGACCGTGAGTCAGCAGCTGCTTTGGGAGTGCTTCAGAGTGTGCTGCGCACCGTGTCACCGTGGCTCCCATCCGATCTGCTTCTGTACCCACAGAAGCCATCCCAATGCCGTGAGATACATATTCCACGCCCTCCTTCTATCGGGTGCCCCCAGAACTGGGGCACGGGTTTGGTCCTCCCGCCCCGTCTTTCTGAGCTGGCCTTGTGTGTTTGCCATCCCCTCAAACTGCTGTCTTGATCCTGAAGGCCTCCTGTGATCCAGCCATGCCAGCCCCCTGCAGCTCTACCCCTTGCTTGCCCAGTCTGAGCCACACCTGCTGCCTGGCCAGCTGCGCTTTCTCCCCCACCCCAGGCATTCTGTGGCTCACTCCGCCTCGCCTGTCACAGTGCCGGGTGGAATGAAGCAGCCGCAGCAGGGCTCATGGTCTCCTGCAGCTCCTTTCCCCGCAGCTGTATCCCTGTATCCCTTGTTTGAGTGACTTGACGTTCCGTTCCCGATGCTCACCCTGTCCGACCACCCAGCTCCAGCTCCCATCGTAGCATTCGTGGAGGTCTTCTGCATGACCCCATGGCTCTGTGGGGCTGGTCTTGGTGACTGTCTTTGATGCAGACAGATGGTATTTGGGAATTCCACTGCTGAAAGCCTCGCCCTTTTTTTTTTTTTTTTTTTTTTGCTAGTCATCTGCAGTGGTGCTGTTGGAACTGCTTAAAGTCTTGAAATCTTGTGTCTCAGTTTTTAAACTCAGTGCAAAAATAAAAAGAT